CGCAGTGCTGCAGGGACACGCTGGGCTGCAAGTGGCCGAAAGTACGACAGCTTCGCAGAGCAGGAAGCGCCAGGCATTTCCTTAGCGGGGCTCTTTAAAGATGCCTCTCCCATCTTCCGGGGATCAAAAAGTTTGGTGAAGCTGGGCCTGGCAGCCCGCGCGGGAGGAAATCTGGCCAAAATGTCACCCCCTCCAAAAGAGTCCAAAGTGCTTGTGCACCGGAGCACAAGGCTGGGAAGACCCCGGCCCGCAGGGCAGCTCTGGCCATGCGCGCGCTCGCCTGCGCCTCGTCTTCGGTTAAATGCGATCTGGTGGCCAGTTTGGCCCTGGCCGCGACAGGTCGGGAGAGTGGTGTGCGCGCACGGTTCAAACGCTGCAGCTGCCTTCCGGGTCCCCCAGCTTGGGTTTCACGGTCTGCGGGTTTGGCGGGCGCCGCCGGAAAACTCGGCTGGCGTGGGGGCTCGCTCTGGCCCCCGGCGAGGACGTTCTCCGCGCCCAGCAGTTCTGGGGGCCAGGGTCCCCAATACTGGTCATCGCTCGCGGTGGCCCGCGATCCGCGGGTCGGGGAGGATTTCCGTCCCGCTCCTGTCCCGGGCACAACTTTTCGGAAGAACGAGGAAAGCGCGGGGTGAGGCCTGCAGAACCCAGATCTGGGGTCCCGTCTGCAACCCCGCCCGCCCTCAGGGCCTCTCGCCCCCCACAGTCTTTCGTTGTCAGCGTGGGGGCTTGCGGGCAGTCGGGCCGGGACAGGGAACGCCGGCGAAGATGAAATAAAAGGGCCCCTTCTTCAAAAGCGAACGAGACATTCATTACCCCTCCAACCCCGGGCCCAGCTCTGCGTCCTGACCCATCCGGCGGTGCCACTTGAGGGAGGGGAGGGGGCGGCCTGCCAGAGGCCACGGCCTCGGGGGGCTTCTCCACGCCTGTCCGCATCCTTCGGTTTCCTCCAAAGGCCGAGTAGTGAGCGCTGGGAGCCGGGGGCCTGGGACTACCGGGTGGTGGGAGCGAAGCCAGGCGTCCGACCCGGCCCCTGCCACCCGCCCCTTCCCACGCGCGTGGCCGCTGCGACTCCTCCAAAGAGCCCCTCATCCTAATCCACGCTGAAACAAGGCCCGAAGGGTTCGGGACTCTGGACCCGGGAACGCCGACCCCTGCGCGTCTGCGGCGCTGCGCGCGCGCGTTAGTAACCTCGTGTCTCTCTCTCCTCTTCCCGTGGCCGGTGTCCCCCGTGTGTCTTCCTGCGCAGCGGGGTCGCCCTTTCCCGAGCCCACTTTGAGAAGCAGCCTCCCTCCAACTTGAGGAAATCCAATTTTTTTCACTTCGTCCTGGCGCTCTACGACAGGCAGGGGCAGCCGGTGGAAATCGAGCGCACGGCCTTCGTGGACTTCGTGGAGAACGACAAAGTAAGCAGAACGTCCCCCGGTCCACCCCCACCCCCGCAGCCTTAGAACTCCCTCCTTGCAAAGCACTAAAGATTCCATCTGTCACTCGCGACACTTCTCCACTTGCATCATCAGGGATGATCAATCCAGGCTTCTCACCCCCGGCCTCTAAATCAGTCGCCTTCCCAGCCTCCTCCCGTCCCCACTCCCGGGCCTGCGGGAGGCAGCGGGCTGTGCGCCCCGGGCCTAGAGGGGCCTGAGCGCCAGGTCTCGGATGCCCAGCGAAAACGCCCTTCCCACTAGACCGTAGTTGGAAAGTACACCCAAGGCTGCCGCTCCCCTGCTCCAGGTTACTTAATTATTTTGCACCTGCCCGCGCCGGTGGGGCGAGTTGAACCGGCGCTTCGGTACTCGTGGAAAGCCCCAGCCCAGCCTAGGTCCGCTTTGGGCCGTGCCTTCTCCAAGGCGGCGCCTCCTGCGAACGCCAGCCCGGTCCTGGGGGCTGGATTTGGTCTCAAACGAGGGACACTCTCCCTAAACCGATACGTGACCAAAGGCAAGTCCCTTGCCCTCTCTGGGGCTCAGTCTCCGCCTAGATACAATGTGAGCTTTAGAGCAGGGGCTTCTCAAAGTCTCTCTTGGACCTGGAACTCAGTGTCTGAGCTCGCCAGGGGGACTGGGTCCTCGCCGGGCAGAGTGCTGTCTGTCCCCCTCACCTTTCTGCCAAGATAAGTCCCGGGACATCTTTAAGGACAGGAAGAGCCCATGGGGTTAGGTGGCACTCGTTTACAGGCAGCTTTGGTGCAGCCACGGCGCAGGGGTCGCACTTCTGAGCACATTTAGAAGGGAGTGGCACAGAGGGCCGGGAAGGGTCCTGTGGCCCTGAGCCTTGGCAAGTGTCCGAAGGTGTTGGGTGGGCCCGTGCTGGTGCCCTTTGACCTGGGGCTGCACAGGGGGCTGTTCAAAACTGAGGGGGAGAAAGATGATTGGAGGAGGATGGGGCCCAGCTCTCTCCTCTTCCCCGGGTTTTGGGGGGCTGGAGAGCAAGGGGATGGATGCCGCCTGTCCTTTCAGGAGCAAGGCAACGAGAAGACCAACAACGGGACCCACTACAAGTTGCAACTTCTCTACAGCAACGGTGAGTGCCGGGGCGCAGGCGGGCGAGCGCGTCCCTTTTCTGGGAGACAGTGGAACTTGCCACAGCTATGGCTTGGTAGCCCCGGGGAGATGGTGCAGGGGAAGCTGGGTGGAGGCTGGCAGATTGGGAGGCCGCTGCCTCCAGGAGGCCCAGCCCAAGTGGCTGCCTGGACCTGGGCCCTGCGGCAAGACAGCTTCTGGGTGCTGGAAAGAAGTTTCCTCGACTCCTGCTTGTTTCTTCCCCGCAGGTGTCCGCACTGAACAGGACCTCTACGTCAGGCTCATCGACTCTGTCACCAAGCAGGTGAGCCCTGAGACCCCTTGGACCCCCAACCCTCCCCAGCTTATCTCTGACCTGCCCCGTCCTCCACTATTTCCTGAGTCGGGCTCCACATGGCCTCCCATAACCCCACATTTGTCCACTGCAGAGGGAAGGAATTGTATTTTCCTCTCTCTTCGCAAGTGTCCTGTGCTGTCTGGTGTGGGGAGATGCTGGGGCAGGGAGATGTGAACAGAGGGAGGAAAAGTGGAAACAAGTGTTGGGAGATTCAGGCCCCCTAAACATTCCCTCTTGCTGAGAACGGCATCCTCACCGTGTGGACTTCTCTGTTATTTCAGTCGAGTCACTGGGCCACTGCCCAGGTTGTGCTTTGCGAGGGACCCCTGCGAAATAGCAGGTAGTGAGAGGGAAAAGGAAGTTGTGCTTGCCCTAAAGTCCTCTCTTTTTGTGTCCCTCCACCCCTCCGTCCTGTCCCACCACCTTTGCAGCCTATAGCTTACGAGGGACAGAATAAGAATCCGGAAATGTGCCGAGTCCTCCTGACACATGAAGTGATGTGCAGGTAAGAGCCTCCCTTCCTGGGGCTGGGCTGGGAGCCGGCAGGTGGGCCAGGATGCAGCGCGTCCCGGACAACTTTTAGGGGTGAAAGGGGCGGGGAGAAGCCTCGCAGGCGGATGGGCACAGGGGGGCAGATCCACTGGACCCCTGCTCCCTTTAAGGCAAATTTCTTAGAGCATGTCCGAGAAACCCAGAATGAATTTGGATGCCACCTGTCTGGTGTTGCAGGAGTTTCCTCGGCCACTTGGAAGGTCTCCGTGGTCCCTGGGTGTGCGGCAGCACCGGGAGGGACCCGGGCAGCTCCAGGTCGGGTTTGGGATGGGGTCTTTCCTTGAAGCCATCTGCGACTGTTCAGTTCCCGCTGGGGTAGATTTCCAAGCGGACCACTTGTGGAGTTACTGAGGCAGAGAGCCCTGGACGACTCACCAGCCGGGCAAGGGACTGCAGGAGGGTCAAGCAGCTGGTTTTCAGGGCGCTTCCCGGCACCCAGGCACCTGCCTGTGATGTGGGACGTTTCTTCCTCCTAGGAGTGCGACTTCTTTGACTTCACATGTTAAGGGAGTTTCTTGGGTCACAAGGAACTACTGGGCAGAAAGATCAGCCCAGCTTCCCACCTGTGTGTGGGAGAGGCGGAGAGAGGACACCCCCCCATCTGAGGTCTGGCCAGGCAGCTGGATTCGGAGGGTCACGTTGTGAAAGGTGTAGTCTACACCAGTTCCTACACTTTTCCCATCTTCCTTTCAGAGACCAATTCACTCCATCTTGAGTCTTGTGCGAGGCCTCTTTTCTTCCGCACGACTAGAAGAGGGGTGGGGAACAGAAGAAATTCATCCACACTTATTCTTTCCACAAATGCTTACTGTGTGCCTAGTAACCAGTGCTGCGTTTTGGGCTGGGTGGTGGAGATCCCACTGCACATGAGAAAGCATGTCGATAGGAAACTCTGGGAGGACTGTGGCTATTTAACTCTAAAAATCTCCGTGTCTGTTCCGTATGTGCTTTTCTCCTCCAAAATCTCTGATTGGAGGGAAAGCCTTCAAGCTTCCCTGCTCACTCTGCCGTTGTTTCAGTGACGGTCTTCCAGCTTCAGACGTGCTAGTTTGGGGTGATTGCTGGCCATCTGATTAAGTATGGACTTTTTTATGGGCAGTTCCCTGAAGCCCTGTCTCTCTTCCCCAACCCAGTCAGGAAGAAACCATAACAGTCAGACATGTTTGTTTTGGTTTTGACCAAGTATTAGAGAAACAAACTTTCCGAATGCCAGTGGCTTCAGCCAAGGGGAATGGAGCCTTCCCTGCCAGGGTGGCTGGGTGAAGCATTGGGTACAGGAGTAAGAAGATAGATACTCCATCATCCCAGGATCCCTTGCTAGATTTGTTCAGAAAGAAAGTGCAATTTTGAGATGTACTTGCATGTAATACCTAGATTAAATAGTCGGGATGCTTTGATTCGATTCGTTAATCAAAGGGGTTTTTTTTCTTTTAAATTCCTCTCTACATTTTTAAAGTCTTTGTTTGCAGAGATTACCTTCCCAAAAGAAAAGAAAACAAATCCCCAAACTGGCCCATTGTCAGTGAATTATACCTATCACTTTAAATAATACTTGCACGCCCCATCCAGCTGTAGTTAAGACTGACATTTTTATTTTTAAGCCCAATCAAATCTCCTCATTTTATGCTGTTTAAGTAGCAGCATCAATTTTTAAAGCCTCTAGTTTAGTCTGCATTAGTAACACAATATAAAAATTTAATGTACTGTAACTTCTCTGTATTGGAGACCTGGGAAGATGCTCTGCTATTTTCTACCCAAACTAGAATTTAAAACAAATATTAATTATGTGCTTAAAAAATGGTCTGTTGGATGAGTACTGTCTGCAGTGTGTGTGTGTGTGTGTGTGTGTGTGTGTGCGTGCGTGTGTGCCCATGCGTGCAGATGAAATGGATGAGGGCAAATATTGGATGCAGCCGACAGGGAAGTTCTCATTCAATCTGTCTCTTAGAGCTGGTTGAGTCTCCTGGAAGGGAGAAAAGTTCCTCCTCTTCCATTTTTAAAGGCAGTTGTGGCAGTCAGTGATTGGGAGAGGAACCAGATACCCTGTTTTCGAGGGTTACTGCACAGACGTAGTTTCATTTGCATGGTGGTGTTTGGCATACCTGGGCACTTTCCCGAATGGTTTTACTTTCTGTAATCTTTTAGCATAAAGGCTCATAAATTGGTGTTTAACTTTGAGAGGCGAACAAAGCGAAAAGACAAAATAAACCTCCTTAGGAATAACTTTTTCTCCCTTCCCCAATGATCTCTGCTTCTCTCTTCCCCACTTTGGTTCATTCTATCAATTATTAGCAAGGAGAAATCTAGTTGTTATGTCGCTGCCAGCCACCCCTGAGCCCTCAATGCTCAGAGGGTTAAAAGATATTATAATTTGAACAGAAGTCGTCTCAAGGCCTACAGCTGGCTAATAACAGAGTTGTATTGAGCGCGAGCAAACCCCACAGCTGTGACTTTTCGCCACAAGGCGCAGGCTAGACAGGGCCCTAATCAGATGGGCCAGCCGGCCAGTGGGGCCAGTGTCTTTATCGGCCAGATGGTGTGAATTTAGACACTTTTGTTATGCAATCGCAGGGAGGAGTTGGGGAGAAGAAAACAAAACAAAAGCCACCATGCTGTGCGCTTATTTGAGTTTGAAATTAGAGACAGATTTTTGAAAGTTGAGGGTTGAATTTTAAAAAACGATTTTGGAGGCGAAAGGGACACATTTAGGTTATCGGGAGCTGGGGTTTGGCCGACTGGACACCCTCGGTCCCAGGCTGGGGCTTTCCCCACTTCTCTAGCCATCTTTTATCCCTCGTCTTTTTCCCTTTCTGAAAATAAATGCAGGTACGATTCAGGATTGTGATAAGATTTCTCATCTCCTCCCACCTCCCACCCCAACTTGTTTTACTCTTTCTCTCTCCCTCTTCAAAGACTTCGAGTGCAGGTAGGGAGGATAAATTGAGAGTATTTCAAGTACAAGGTTCTCCATATAAGTCCTAAAATAAAATAAACCAAACCAAGCCAGACAGAAACAGCAGAACAGCTCTCATTTTCATTCATTAGGGAAAAAAAGTACCCCCGAGCCTCTCTGGGATTGTTAGGAACACAATCTTAACCTATTGCCAAGTTCAGTTTCCTCTTCTCTTTGTTTCATTAGTCTCTTCTTTTTTTCCTCTTCCTATTTTATAGTCATTTCCAGTTCTTAAAAACGCTTATCAGGAACTTCAGACGTAGAGACTTGCTTGTTGGAGATAATCCTAAGAGCCTTTTAATGAATGTAGTTGAACCTGATGTTGGCCACTCAGGCTTTGTCTACACAGCAAAGGGAAGAAAGAATGGAGTTTGTCATCTGAGCAATTCGAGAATCCAGTTCTTCGGCGTCTACTATCTGCGTTGTCTGGGGAATGTGGGTTCACGAACGGCTTGGGCTTCCCCTTTCCTTTGCTCGTGCTAATTTTGCTGGCAGGAGAACTGAATGTCACTTAAGAAACAAAATAAAGAACAACTAGAACGTATTAATGAGCTTTTCTTTTCAAAGGAAAAAAAGTAAAAGAAAAAGATTTTGCTGTGGCTAACTTAGAGACCCAGAGAAATTTTAAGAAGGGCCCAACTGGGGCCAATACAACCAAGTTCTATTATTTTTATACCTTTGCTGTGATAGTTCAATAGCCAAGTGGGTGTTTTCTATATATTTTCTGTGCTGAATATTAACACAAGAGATTATATTTAAATATGTTACTGTTGGAAAATGGAGGGTTGGATCCTAAAGTTTCTCTGCGTTTTTCTTTGAATATCACTTCCTCCCGAGTTCATTCCCCAACATTATATTACACTGGCACCAGGCTTACATTTTTATCTGTTTTTCTTTTCCTCCAGAGGAAATCCCCATGGAAAGCAGCTGAATTCAGCTGAACAATTTTGCAAACTTACCCGGCCTCCTCTGAATCATTCCTACCCAAACTAAACAGATTGGCACATTCTGACAATGTGCACTCTTGTAATTAAATTGTACCCAACATTGCACACATATTTGGGGTGAGGTTGACATGCTGGTGATGTCAAAGGAGAATCTCGCTTGAAGGTCTTTAGGTAACAGTCATGTGTGGGTCTCTTGAAGTTATGTTACTAAGAAGAGTGGTTTGCCTGAGCCACAAAGGTATTGCGTTGACATAAGCGAGACCCTAGAAATTAGAAGAGGTGGGTAGGGAAAAGAAGAAGAAATGGGTGGGGAAAAGATTTGGGGAGAGAGACAAGGACTTTGGGAGGTGGGAGAGCAGCTGGCCCACATTTTTATTGGTGTTAATCTTGGGGTGGATTGAAATTTTAAAAGTTAAGACCTAATATAATTTCAAAGGCCAAATATTATTTCAGAAAGTTCCAGTGGCAAACTCTGGTATTTAAGAAAGTTGAGACCATTTTTTTCCCCCCTGCCTATTAATTTGATTAAATTTCTTAAAACCTCATTGTGCCCGTTTGGTGAAATTGTGTTAGCATCTCTCAAATATATTTTACTTTCTGAAGACGGGGGAGTTGTCCACTGGACGATTCACACATCCCTGGCCTGAGTTAGGCTTTTAAAAGTTTAAAAATATTTGTTTGTTTGTGTTTACTTCTATGAAGGATCAGAGAGGAAAAACAAACTTCAGAGAGCCACACATGGCGAATCTAGGACTGGGTTGGCACTAGGCCTTTGGGTTCCTGGTGTCACGTGGCTTCTTTCCCTTATGGCTTCGTCACTTTCAAAGGGCACTCATAGTCCCGTGGACTTCAACCTCGTGGACTCATGGACTCTAGAAGGAACCCTGAGGAGAACTATTTCAGTACTTTCACTTTATATATGTGTTGGAAGAAAAAGCCCAGAGGGATTAAAGAGATTTGACTAAATTCGTGCAGCTGTTTGGTGATGGCTTAGACACCAGAACCCCGATTCCCAGTCCAGCAATTGTCCTATAGCACGCCATCACACTTAAGCTACAAAGGAGAAAATTCCCTGTGAAAGGCAGCACTCACATTGGGTCTGGCAATTGTTAACACTTACTAGGCATGTTCTACAACCACAGTGGATGACAGTGATATTCTCATGAGCCATGTCAAGTTTACATCCTTAACCACGGCTGATAGTGGACCATCCACCTGAAGTGAGCCGAGGGGTTTTCAGAAGTCTGTGGCCCTGACAGGAAGCAGATGAGCAAACCTGGTGGTAAGGTGGTTATTTCCCAGCATCCTACCCGCTCACGGCCTTTGCCTGTCTTATGTTCTTCTGGGTATTTTCGAGCAGATACCTTTGGACCGGAGTGTTCTGCTCTCTACCCAGGTCCTTCGGAGTACTTTCTGTCGGTTGTAATTGCTCTAGGGTGTCTTTGTCTCATTCTCTCTGCTAATCGCACCCACATTTATTGAGGGTCTGTCTACGAGGTACCCAGCATTTTGCTAGGGGGGCGCCTTGGGAAGTAGAATTTTTCAGGACTGGGGCTTACAAATGGCGTATCATTTCTGTTCAGAGTTGGTGAAAATGATCAGAGAGATCATCCTGCCTCATTGTCTTCCTATTTCAAAATGTACACCGTAGTTCTGGTCTTCTTCCTTTGTCTTTGAAAAATGATGGAAATGAGTGAATGAATACATGTCATAAAGTATGCCAAGTTCTCTGAAGAAAGATGCTATGTAAATAAGGTTTATAATAATCCAGGCAGTTACTCGTGGTCTATCGTATACATTTTCCTTCTCCTTCTTTCTTCAAATATTTATTGAGACACAAAGACCTAAACTATACAATCATAAAATCATTGAGCATCAAGCTGGAGTGACCTTAGCAGATCTTAAAGTCCAAACTTCTGTGGCTCAGATGATAAATATGGCTCTTGGGAAAGCTGTGATTTGCTGAGAATTAGGCAGCTTGTAAGTTATAGAGTGAGAATTTGAATGAGTCTATGTTGGCTTCAAGCTGAGTGTTTTTTATTTTGTTTATTTTTCATATGTCACAGACACAGATTCTGCCCTCAAGCAGCTTATAGTTGGGAAGCTACCTTGGACAGATGCATTTTTTGTGAACATTCTCATGTTGTGGGTCCTTTGTGTTTTCTTGATTTAACACATTTCTTTTACTCTTTTGGTTCCTTCCCAACCTGCAGTCGATGTTGTGAAAAGAAAAGCTGTGGAAACAGAAATGAGACGCCTTCGGACCCTGTCATCATCGACAGGTAGGGGGAAAAAATGGATTTTTAGATGATTTTTGGTTTATTTCCTTCACGGACCTCAACTCTGAGTACTGATTGTACAGGGCTTTGTGGTAAGGTTGGTTTCATGTTATGCTATCTGAAAACATTAAGCTAGTCCAGCAAGGGTTTCCTCATGCTGGTTGGCCTTTCTTGGAAGAAATCAGAGTCTTCCTGGGGTGCATGTCTCTATATCTATGGCAGGGTGTCCTTTCCAGGTGCACTCACTTCAGCCTAATGAGCGTGTATAGTAAAAGATGGTAAATGATGCCATTTCTTCTCTTCAGCAGGGTGTGATCTCAACCAGTTTTCTAGAAGCGGGAGGATAGCCCCAGTTTAAGTGGCAGCTTCTTTTCACTCTTAGTAGTTGCCGCTGGGCTTGAAGACTGTGAATTTAGATTATGGTTTAGGGGATTATGACAGGCTCTCTGTTGTGTTGGGGGTGGGATTCCTTTCTGCCACAGAGAATTACATTCCGGGCTCTATGTTATATTCGGGATGGGAAAGATTCTTTGGGACAAGATGCTCATTCACTGAAATGTGATGTAGGTATCCTCAGCTGTCTGTTTTTGTGATTGGAAACAGGACTTACAAACCAATGAAGAAATACCAAATTAACTTCCAGCAATCATGTAATTTTTAAGAAACCCCATATTCCCACCCCTAATTTTTTCTCTTTCGTTAAAAAACGGAATAATTCCCTGTTGCTTCTTTCTTTGGGTTTTCACATTTCTAGCCAGGTCCTGAAATGGATTGGAGAGACCACAGTCTCCAAAGTTGTTATTCCAATATTCCAACGAATTCTCAGTTGGGAGAATGGAACCTCTGGCATTCTTCCCAGAAAGCCAGCTTGGTTTCTGCGTGGAAAGTATAGCATAGTCTTAAGAACTGAGGAGGCTGGAATTCTGATTCCGTCCTAGCTTCTGACCTTGGACGAAACCCTCAGCATCTTTGTTCTTCAATAATGTAATGATGCATTGGGGGGTGTGCCAGCTGCCATAGGTTTAGGAGGCTACTGAAACATCAGTGGCCACCTTGCAGTGTTCTTTGGGATGCTTGGAAGAGGATGGTAGGCAAATGTAAAATATTTGTTGAATGTGCTTGGTGTCTTTACCATTTTAGAAGGTCCTGGTGAGCTGCATTTTGGGAAGCTAATTGGGGTTGATCTATTTTTTTCCAAAGCACGGAGAAACTTAAATGTACAGAGTTGCAAGGATACTTGGGGGCCAGTCATCCCACTCATTTTATAGATGAAAACGCTGAACCCTGAGTGGTGGCATGACTTGCCTATGGTTGCATGACTGGTTGGGGGAAAGATCTGGCATAGAACACAGCTGTCCTTATGTCTAGACTTGTGTTTCTTTCCACAGACGCAACCTCATTCTCCCAGCATGCTTTCTGTCCTGACTGGTGGGTTGAATCTGCTCCTGTCTCTACTTCCCAGGGATCCTTTGGGGAACAGGAAGCATATGGGAGCATCTTAGGCCCAGCTCCTGCCCTTCTGGCATGTAGACGGAGCGTGTCTGTCTTCATCTAGTCTTGAGTTCTCACTAACTCAAGCGCCTCTTTCAAGAAGATCTTCTAACCTCATGACCGCTACATCGCTTCTAATAAACACCCCATAAACCAGCTTTAGAAATGTTTGCAAACCCGTAAATGCTAGCCTGCACCTTGCTTCTCATAAGCTCACACCCTAACGACCCTGCACTCAGCAGTAGTTCATACCTTAAAGAACCACACAGAACCTGCATCCATGGATGCACCTGAATATGCCTGTGTTTTCTCCCTACATAGTATGCATGCTCCTTGTATAAAAAAGAAAGTGGTCTCTTTGCATCTTTGAAGACAAAAGATTCTCTTATTGGGTGCCGTTGTTGTTTGTGCTAGAATGCTTTCAATTCTTCAGAGAAAGTGGAAATTGAATCTTGGCTGCATATTATGGAGGTTTATGTGACCGTGGCATTTATTTTTACATCCTGTGCCCAATAAAACAGCCCATGATGTCGCTGCATCACTTGAAATATGCATTTACTTCCGAAATGTTTCACGTCTGCTCATGGAAACATACATGCCAAAGGGTACCGTAAATGGACCAGTATCAGGTTTTAAGAGAACCTACTTTATTATAAACAGATGCATTTGTTTGGCTTACGTATTGTGGGGCTTTTGTTTGAAGATAGCTGTTCTCTCCTTGAAACCTTATCTTATTGCTCCTGAAGGTCTTTTGGGCTTCCCTTGGCCTCCTCACTTCCATTTTTGGAAGTAAAAGGGCCAGAAGTCAGGTTTTCGCTTGTTGGAGGTGGGAAGGGTGCTCGTGTCACCCAGGGGTTTGGCTGAGCTGTGCTGCTGGTCCCTGGGTCCAACGTCTGCCAGCCTGAAGGTGTCAAGTTCCCGCACAAGCACCAAATGGGCGCGAAGGAGTCTATTTTGGATTTCCTCTGTGTAAATATAGAACTCTGTTCCTTGCCCTTGTTCCTATAATGCCAACTAATTATCTCCTCCCCTTCTCACCTAACCTTACCAGATGCAGTTAATTTACACTGTCTTTCCTTGAGTTTTCTCATACAACAGGCATACTCCATTCTGGCTCAAGGGAAGCCTGTTTATTTCCTTGGAATTATGTGTGTTCAGGGGAGGAGGAGAGGGAGTACTAGGGTGGTTCCCAAACTTTTCACCACCTGGACCCCTTTTTTATTTCCCTTGGTGATCTCAGGGTTTTGCAAGATTTTACCTTCTGAGCTGCAAGAACAAAAAAATTACGCATCTGTAATTCCATTTTTAATCATCATCAAAGACCTGTAACAGAATGGGAAGGAGGGAAAAAAATCTCATCTCAGATAGGCCCTTGATGTCATCAATGGCTAATTAGAATTTTTGATCGGAATGAGACAACCAGCGTTACCGCACTGACTCGAAAGCCTTCCAGCTCAAACACAAAACTTGATTTTTCAGTGAGCCCGTACGACCACATCCCAGTAAATATTCACTTTCCAGTAGGCTGCTTGAGGTACGAAAAATAGCTTTTACTACCTTGTGGCCCCTTAATTGAAAACCACTGGCGTTTACAATCAGGGCTCTCCCATTAGGGACTTAGTTCTCCATTTCCCAAGACTTAGTCCTAGACTTTTTTTTTTTTTTTCCTTCTCCTTGCTAAGTGGCTCCTTGCCTTAATCTCTCTAGAAACATAAATTTATTTTTTATTTTCAGTTATTTTTTTCAGCGTGCTTTTGTGAATTCTTGGGCAACCACGCCTCTCTCTAAGAAGCCAGGCCAGCACACGGCCCCGCAGGATCTGCTGCTGAGTCAAGGGTTTTCAGAAGAGTCTGCCTTCTGTGTAAAAATGTGTGTGTGCGTGTGTGTGTGTGTGTGTGTGTGTGGCAGGGAGAGTAGAGTTTATTAATTTTTTTGTAAAAATCTAAAGTTCCTATCTGGAAAATAACCCCAAACAGTACAGAACAAAACACAAATAGTAATGAAACCTAATCAGTACTGTGGTTTCCAGCCTGGATCTTGTCTATAAAGACATGTGTGGTAAATAAAAATAAAAAGACTCAAGCTGATTTACATTTGTGGTTTCTGAGGGAAGTTCTGATTCAACCTTGTTTGTCATGGGCTGTGCTCTCTTCAAACTCTCTATCTGGAAGCTTCTTCTGAATATCTATTGATCTCTGGGGCTCAGGATAACCTAGTGAGCCATGAGAAGAGGATTTTAGGGACAGCCTCACTGATGTGGGAGAAGGAAGAAGGGTCCTTATTGTTCCTGCCTTTGCAAGCCTTGTACAGTCAGATGGAGCAAAGGGCAAGAATTCCTTTAGAATCTCTGTAGACTCCCCCTGTCCAAGTGCATACTGGTGGGGTAGTTTCCATTAAAAAAAAAAAAAAAAAAAAGCAAGCAAACAAAAAAACCCCAAACAGGTCCAACCTATTTCTCACATCTAAATATCCCAGTCTTTTGTCTTGGGACACTGGTCTCCTATATTTCTGAGCTCTGTTCCCAAGAGGATCATTTTAAGTGTTGATGCGTTTTTGTTTATTTTCTTTTTCAAGAAGCCAAACAAACAGCAGAATGACCTTCATTCGAAACATTTACTCAAAAATATCTGGGGTCTTGTTGCCTATGAGGGGTTTTCCTGAAGTTATTTTCCTTTTTTAAGAAAAGAATTTTAATTGTGGTAAAATACCTGCAATGTACAATTTATCATCGTAGCCATTTTAAGTTCAGTGGCATTCAATGCATTCCCATGGTTGTGTAATCATCACCACTATTTATCCATAGAATTCCATTCATCTTGCAAAACAGAAACTCGGTATCTATCAAACAACTCTCCAGCTCCTGGCAATGAGGGTTCTATTTTCTGTCTGTATGAATTTGACTCTTCAAAGTACCTCCTGTCATGGAATCATTCAGTATTTTTCCTTTTCACAATTGGCTTTTTTCTCTTAGCATAATATCCTCAAGGATTCTTCACATTGTAACATGTGCTAGAATTTCCTTCGTTTTTAAGGCTGAATAATATTCCAGTGTATGCATATATCATGTTTTGTTTATTCATTCTTCTGGGTATGGGTACTGAGTTGCTTTGATCTTTTGGCTTTTGGAAATAACGTTCCGATAGACATGAGTGCACGAATATCTGAGCCCCTGCTTTCAATTCTTTTGGGCATATACCCAGAAGTGGAATCTCTGGGTCACATGGTAATTCTGTTTTCAATTTTTTGAGGAAACACCATATTGTTTTCCACAGTTGTACTATTTTATGTTTCACCAACAGTGTACAAGCAAAGGTTCCAACTACTCTGCATCCTTGATAAGGCTTGCTATTTTCTGTCTTTTGTTTGTTTGTTTTTGGTAGTAGTCATCCTAATGGGTATGACTCTTTTTTTTTCCTTTTAAGTGATGTTTTCTCCTCCTGGCCATCTTGGTAGCACTGTCATCTGGTGCTCTCACCTCTAGTTCATATTTCTCCTTGATCCTTCTGCTGTCT